ACACAGACTGTCTTTTTACCTGAGTAGTAGACTAGATTTTCTCTCCACTGAAGCCATTTTCCCATCACACTATACAAGAAACTTCAGATTTATGAGTAGGTTCCCTGGCACCAGAAGTCACAGGATTACCACAGAATTGTCTGTGATGTTTTAAACTATGCTTTATGGCTTGGCAAGAAAAGCCTGAATGCATGAGCTGAATGCAGTTGCTGAAATGAAACCTTCCTAACAGGGAAGGAGAGACATTTTGAGATGTATAAACTACTGCAAGCATCTCACTGGAGAGGTCCTAGAAACAGCAAGGGCTTCCCAGCAGCTCCAACAACATCAAAGCAGCAAAGAGCAGACAGAAAACTTTCCAAGAGAGCTGCAGCCTCACTGCTGGACTTGGTGTCAGGGTGCCTGCAAAGGTTATTACATTTGCAGAGAGCTGGAGAAAGGGGGAGAGACACTCACTGCAGAGCTAAGAATAAACCCTGCTGCTCAGCCCTGGATTTTCCTAGGGAAAGAAGGGGGGACCTGCTTCATCCTCCTCCTTGTCTGAGCATTTGAGGAGACACTTGCTTTGCTATCTGAGAAAAAACAAAGAGGATCCCAGTGAGATCCTGTGCCTAGTGCTCTCAATTTCTGTCTCAGTGCAGCAGAGGAAGCTTTGTCACACTGCACATTAACTGTACAGAGTCACGGCTTTCACTTAGGGTCTGAAGTCTTTTTTTTTTTTTTTTTGGTCTTTCTGTCACCAGTGTGTGGATTTTACTTCAGTCCTATGGTATTTCAAGAATATGTTGCACACAGTCCTTCTCAAGTATGTGCCTTTGCATGCTTGAAACACTTGACATGTCCATTAAAGACAGACTGCAAAATTGCAAAGACTTTATTTCCATGAAACTTCAGGGATTAGTTGCTAAGCTTAGTCAATGCACCTTTTAGGACTGACCTAAAACGCTCAATACCGGTTTTGATCCTTCTGTTTATCTGTCCTTTAATATTTTGCTTTTCTCCTCAAAAATGACATATTAATAGAAGGGGGGGGAGGCTGTTTTTATTTCCTTCCTTGTTTTTCTTTCCTGAAAACCGTGGCTGTAGCCTTTTTGCCTTCTGCTTGCACAGTCCACTGAGCAATTACACAAGTCTTTTTTTATTCCCAAGTGGGAAGGAAGAGCTGGAACTCTGAGTCTTGATGAAGTCTGAGAAAGGAGGTTTCTTTTATAGCTTGCAGATAAAAACCTGCTACAGTGAAGTACAAAAGCATTTTCAGATAGTAAGAATGGGGTTGCCCAGTTCTATGCTGTGCTTTGAGGACAGTTTTCCCAGAATGGAGTGAAACACAGGTGGGACAGAACTTTATAATATTGGGGGGTGGGGTTCTTTATGGGGAGGAAAGGAGCACACAGCACCTTTTCCTCTTGCTTTTATGGCTTGAATGGGGTTGTGTCTTTTAGGAAAGAAGCCACACACCTGTCCTGCTGGTTGGCAGCCTCTCTGCCTCTCTGCTGTAGAGTGGTAGCCCTGCAGCAAATCTTGGTGACTAGCAGGGGGACTGTGAATGCCAGGCTAAGGCAGGAGAGCTGAGGTTGTTGAATTTAGCCAGGCAAGAGCTGTGTGTCACAGCTCACGTTTCCTGGTGCGTGTATCGTGCAGAAAATGCTGCTTCTCCCTCCTCACGTGAGGTTTCTGTAATAACAGACACAGTGTTGTTGAACTGCAGAAGTTGGTAATATTCTGTTTGTCTAAATGCTGAAAGTGTGAAGGGTTGCTGTTGTGGCAAATTCTTTGCAAGCTTTTGCAGTTCTAAACACATGACCCTCTGCTGTCTCTAACGTTGTGCTGCCATTGGCAGCCTTTCCATTACATAATGTTGACCCATATTTGTGATATGTGACATTTTTTGCTAAACACTGTCAGGGATAATCTGTCACAGAATAAACTTTCTGATTATACACCAAGACTCTGTCATCCTTTAGCACAAACATAACTTGTGCCTCAGACAATGCTATTCCTTGTTAAGACAAGCAGAGTACTGTTCTTTCAGGTAAGAAAAACACCATGAGAGTATTGTGTGCTTTGAGTCTCAAATGCCTAGGACTAAATTCATTGCCAAGTGATTGCACAGAATCACATTTGGGAGTAATTTGAGCTTTAAAAAATGTTGATCCCTAGCCCAGGTGATGGGAGCAGTGATAGGCTGAGGGAAACACGAAGTGTGACTCTGCAAAAATGATGTCTCAGGTAGGTCCAGCTTTAGAAAAGCAGAGCTGTGGAAAAGGTTTCTCTGCTCTGCTCTTACACTGAAATCTGCCAGTATTTGGAGATTTAACCAGTCTTTTCTTCAAAAAAACAAGTGTAATGGTGTGGGGAGAGAAATAGATATAGCTCAGCCTGGGATTATTGCTACAAGACAGCTGAGAAATGAGAGGCCTTTGAGGAATGGCAACACCTCCAAAGCTGTCTGCTTTCAAAGAGCTATGCAAAAATTCATCTCTTCTTAAAAACCTGATTTCAGTTGCATAGAATAAGAAGTAGAAGAGAGAAAGGTGTAAAAGATACAGACAGAGAGAACAAAATGGGAATTCTCTCAGTATTCAAGAACAGGCTCTGTTTCAAATGGACTTTATATAATGTTATAGCAAGGAAGTAACAAGATTGTGTGAGCTGCTGAAGCGTCTGCCACGTTGTGGAAAGGAGCGAATGTGGAACATAAGGCCAAGAGACTAAATACACCATCTTCAGAGAAAGAAATTTTCCAGCCTTACATAGGAGATGACTGTGTGCTAAGAACAGTTGCAATATTAAGGAGAAAGGTTTTGCTTCTGTGCAGGGAATTAATGCTTGTCAGAGACAAAATTAAAACCTGATGAATGCGGTCTCACCCACTTTCATTTCTTTCCTCTCTGATTCTGCATTTGTCCTCATTCTGTCTGTGCATTCATTCATATATTTCTCTCCCTTCCCACCTCCCCATTGACTCACACTCTCCCTCCCTGCTACTGCTTCCTTTTCATTTTCTCTTCCTTTAGGTTCCCTTCCCACTCATTCCATTTCTCTTCTACCTGACCCCTCTCCACACATTTTCCGTCACTGTGAAAAAAAGCAGAGACAAAGAAGAAAAAAACAAAAGATGAGCAAGAAAGCAGGGGGAGGTGTGTGTGTGTGTGAAGAGTAGAGAGTGCTGGAAGGGTGCTCAGCATTGCACTTTCTCCCCATGATGCACTACAGATTTCTGAAGGTGTCAGAGGAGTCCGGGCTCCTGAAACCTGTTCCTTGCTCCCAGGCTGCAGCACTTGGCAGTGGCTCAGTGAAAGGTAACACCAGAGCTCATCTCCCGAGATTAGTGTCCCTAGAAATCATCATAAGGAACGGAATAATCCTAAAGTCCAGTGGAAAGCCATCTCTGAGTGACAGACATCTGGCTGTGTGTGGAGCTTACTACTGTGTCAGATCAGTGAGGACTGGGAGGGGACTGGATGGTCTTGGGACTGCAGAAAGAGAAATGGGAGCTCTAGGGACTCTCTGGACTTGCTGTCATGCAATGCTGACCAGGTAACATCACAGCCTCGAGCTTATTGGGGGCCTGTCTGCAGTGAACTGCTGTTTCCCAAAGCAGCTGCTGCTGGAGTCTCAAGATCAGTGGCCAAATGGTGTCAATTTTGGTTTGGTGAAACAACGAATTGGTGCCAAGAATGCTTGTTGTAATGTGTGGTTAGCCTGTGACCTGGAGAAAGCTCTGTACTCCTGCAGCCCCCGAGGCCAAGAGGCTGCTCCTTTGTCCAGCCTGCGGTGGGAGGGAGCTGGGCTGTCACACCTGCTGATGGTGCAGCGCTGCACAAGTTTTATTTATTCTCCTATTACTCTTTATCTAAATTTTCTCCTTTTCTGGCCCCGTTCTTGTTCCTGAAATTGTGAACTGATAAATAGTTTTTTAAAAAGCTTGGTATGGATAGCACTGGTACAATGCGGGTCGTTTTTCCTTCCCACAAAAAGGAGAGGTGGGAAGCATGCAGGGCAGGTAGCCATAAATGGCTCATTTCTGTACCCTCTCCTGCCATCTATACCCTCCTGCCAGCTTTTCTTGGTTTATCCACCTAAACCGGCTAGTATTTCTTACTGCGAATTCTTGCATAATCGAAGATCAGAGCGGACGCCCGCAGCCCTTGGGTGTGACTGCGCACAGTGGTCGCGGTGGGCTGTGTGTTTGGGGAAGGGGAAGTCGGTAACGGTGGTTTTGGGGGGTGGTTTGCCTCGGGAACACTCTCCTCGGGTTATGGAATAACCTGGAAACAAACGGCGCCGCGGCGGTGCGCAACTGTGCCCGCGGCCGGCCGGGTGGAGCCCAGCCCGGCCCTTGGCGGGGTCGGTGCCCAGCGGCGCCTGACCCGGAGGGGTTGGACACTCCGGGAGCTTCCCGCGGAGGCGCGGCCGCCGTTACATAAGGAGCGGGGGGGGGAAGGGAGCGCTGCGAGGCGGCGGCCGCGGCCCCTTTAAACGCGGGTGCCGGGGCGCGCCGGGCGCCCGCCTCGCTGCTGCCCCCTCCCCGGCTCGCTGCGGCGACAAATCCGCTCCCCGCCCGCCTCCTCCTCCGCCGAGCGCTCCCAGCCGAGCCGGGCGGCGCCGGGAAGCGCCGGGAAGCGCTGCCGCGCGGCTCAGCACAGCCCCAGCCCCAGCGCCCGGCCGAGCCACAGCAGGCGAGGGGCGCGATGGAGGCTCCGCGCCTGGCGCACACCATGAGCAGCCCCACGAGCCCCTGCGAGGAGGTGATCAAGAACCTGAGCCTGGAGGCGATTCAGCTCTGCGATAGGGACGGTAAGCCCGGGCTCGGCGCGGCTAATCCCCGCAGACGTAAGATGCTGCTGCCCTCATGGATGCTAATGCAAATTAATCCGCGCGGCGTATGGTCCTTTGTTATCCCCCATGAATTTGTAGGTGCAGTTGCTCCCCACCCCTCCCGCCGCCGCTGCCACCCTCCTGCCACTGAGAACAAAAGAAGAAAGAGAAGGTTGCACCTTGCTGGAGGGAAGGGTGGGAAACCTGCCGCTCCCTGAGCCGTGCCTGGCGTTGCAGTGCGATTACCCCGGGCGAGCCTGCTGCACAACCCTGCCCCTGCCAGGAATGGACGCTGGGGCTTGTTCTGGGAGAGGCAGCGAGGAGAGCCAGAGCCCGCGCTGCGGAGAGTCCGGAGCTGGGGGGACGGGCCGGTGGCCCTGGTGGGGTTTTGTTGCCCGCGGTCTCCAAACTCCTTTGTATTGTAGGGCAATTCCCGTGTTTAGGATACACGGGCGGATGTGCCGCCTGGCGTGGGCAAGCGGCCAGACTTGTTGCCGGTCGCTTGTGCGAGCGATGAGGCGGCGAGTGGAGCGAGCTGGGGCTCGCAAGATGGGGCTCGGGGGGAGGCAGAGAGAGGGAGATGGTTCAGCACCGCGGACAGCACCGCCCGGCGGGCCCGGGAGCGCCGAGCCCCGGGCCCTGCCGCCTTCCTTCCCTGCCCGTGTTCCCTGCCCGCCATCCCTGCCCGCCTTCCCTGCCGCGCCGCGCCTGGCGCCCGCACAGCCGCGGGAGACCGCAGTGCCCTGGGGACAGTGGCAGTCCGTCTGTCCGTCCGTCCGCCCGTCCGTGCCTCGGAAGGCGCAGCGAGACCGTCAAGTTTGGCTTTAGAGTTGCAGGTGCGGATATTAAAGACTGTGTCGAAGCAAGCAGATAAATGTCAGGTGGTGACGAGGGAGAGCCAAAACAAGTGGTACGTGCTCGAAGCAACACTGACGGCTGACTGGGGTACAACAGTCGTGTCGTTTGTACACAACTGTGGCTGACAAAACTAAACAGAGTCACTGACTGTCAAACAATGAAAAAATATTTTCTTGTAGAGTGGCATAGAATTTGTGTTCACATACCAGATGATTCCTATCTTGTCATTTCACATCGAAGTATTGAAAATAACTTGTCATTTTTTGGATGCAAAATGTGCTTTGGGTGTGGAATTTGTTACCTGGTAAATGCACCAAGGAATGGAGATACTGTATCAGTGATTGGTACAGCTGAATTCATGAAACTATTTCCTTGCGTGAGTATATTTTTGGAACATAACTGTTGAAGGTGATGGTTACAGTAGGAGCCAGACCAGTTTTCTCTGTTATTTTTTTGCAAATTATTATTGAATACTTCCCTTTTTTAGGCATACGTTTAAAAAGCTGCATTTTTGGAAGCTCTTTATTTTTCTTAAAATACTAAGGAAAATGACAAGGCATTGAAAAGTCTCAGTTATTATTTTTATAGCTACATTAGAAATTCTTTGATTTTTTTTTAATGTCTGAATTATAATATGGTATTATAATATGAATTATAATAAGGTATAATATGCACTTCCATTCATTCATGCCTAACTCGCTGCCACAGGAAACTGGACTATGTTTATAGTAGTGGAGGTTAGAGTGCTCTTTTGTTAAAACACTTTTTCACTTATATATCTTTTTATTAATACTAGAGATAAATAAAAATAGATAAATTATGCAATCCTTCATATTTGTGTACCCTAAGTAATTGCAGTGAAGTACTCCATGTCAATCATTGAAAACGCTATTTGGTTCCACATGCTCTAGTTAAGGACTGCTTGATTTCTGTGAAATAATGTCACACAGGCAAGCAAATGGTTTCTTTTTGATTAGGCTTCTGTGGAAACCCACAGTTTTTCTGTGGATGTGGCTTTGCAAGCTAACCCTCCTGAAGCAATCCAGCATCACACAGGGTCGTTGCTTCCCCAGTACATGGTTGGATTTCCGAAGGCGGCCCCTACCTTGGGGATGTAGGAGTCGGCTCAGTGCCTCCACTGGCACAGGGCTGCACCTGAGCATACTTCAGGATTTCCTACAGGTGGCACTTCTGTATCAAGAAGCTGTTTTAGTGGGAACACAGAAACAAGGAAGCAAAGGTTAAGGCATTAATCCTTCTGGATAAGTGCCTATGCGATACATTTATGTCCCTGGTTGTGTACATGGGTACATTTATATTATAAACACTCGCAATTTATTTTAAGGTATCTTTGTTGCGAAAGATGAAGTTGGGGAAGGTGATTGACATCACTGAGGTTAATCGGAGTTTTGTGATAAACATCACTACTTACCCACAGTGAATTAAAAATATGCTAGATTTTCATATTCTGAAAATGTCCTTGGTCTTTAAGCTGCAGTAACTGTAAAGGCAACCAGAGAAATTGTAACATTACACATCCAACTATGAAAAACTGCAACACACTTACTTTGGAATTGCAAGCAACGCTGCAGCATAAACATAAACAATAATGGAAAAATGATGTAGATAGCAAAATGTTATTCTTGCTTTCTGAGATGGGAGAATTAGTATTAAGACATTTTGTATTCAGAAAACTGGATTATTCATCCTATGTAGGTATATGCAGGAGCCACAAATCTGGGAACAGGAGTGAGCAATTAATAATATCACAACGGTTGCTCTATTTTTAGAGGGTTTTTTTAAGTGTTGTTCTTGTAAGCATTGTCATCTCTCTTAATGAATTAAGACCATTTAAAAATTTACAAATGTTAAAAGATTACAAATGTACACATTTTGGAGATTTTTTTTTTAGATAAAAACTCCTGATAAGATTTAAAGTGAGCGCAATATTATAAAGCCAATTATGAGCTCTTATTTTTTGCATACTCTGTTATTTACAAATGTATCTTGCATTATTTGTTCTTATTCTCTTAGGTGGGTCTGATAGCACAGCTCAGTATTAGTCTATTGCACAATCCAATGTGTAGTTCTTTAGAACTCTCCTTAACTCACCCCCTGTGTAGGAAAAAACATTTGTTATTTTCCTTTACCATATTTGAACACTGTAGCCATATTTTTGCAAACTGAGGGCAGAATGAATGTTTCCTTTGTGCTGAAAATTCTGGTGACCTTTTTATAAAATTTGTATTAGCCCCACCTAGGGATTAAACCTTTAGTAGATGGATGGATGCCCTTTGTGTCACGAGCAGGCCAATTCTATGAGAACCCAGCTAACGTCAGAAAATCATACCTGTGCTTTTCACAGGCTTGGTACAGCAGCCTTAGATGTGAGCAGCTGAATTTCCTGAAGCTCCACATTGTGGTTGTGCAGCACTCCCCCTACAGATGATGCACTTTGGCTGCTGGGGTCCTGCCAGGGTGAGAGCAGTGACGCTGTCACACACTTCCCGTGCTCCCACAGTTGGAACAGACAGATGGAAAGCAGAAGACACCTCTGAAAATGCAGAAAGAAGAGCAGAGAAACAAACCTTCAAAGAGGATGTTGGACCTTGGGAGGCACGGACTGGGGAGTGGGGCAAGAAAACTGGCCCCGAAGGTGCTGATAGACTTGAGGCAGTGGCTGGTCAAGGGTGGAAGAACAGGAAAGATTTACAAGCTGGTGATTAGATTAGATGGGAAGGCAGAAGTGGTCAAAATAACCCTGAATGAAAACAGGAAAAGAAGATGAATGAGCGAGGGAGACAATCCAAGTTCAGGCAGCGTGCCCAGGGAAGTAAAACTGGGGAGGAAAATGAGGAGGTGTTCACCCAGGGTAGATTAGTTTGAAGAATGAGGATGGGGAACCTATGAAGAGTAAACCTGGAGACCTGCGTGCAAAGAAGAGACAAAAAGTACAAGAATGTGGAGAGGGGGAACTGGACATTTTGGTCTGCAGAGCTGAGGAGTAAAGGAATGGAACTAGGATGTGCTGAGCAAAGAGACTGGGACTGAAAGGACAGCCTTAGGAATGAGGAGCAGGACTTTTGAAGTGTGACTGGGGAGTAGAAGAAGGGGTGGGACAGGAACAGGGCAGAAGAGGCTGTGTTTTGGTGTGACCACCAGGGAAAGGTCAGTGTGTATCAGCACGTGCCAGCTTTCAAAGCCACACCAACCCCAGGACAGCAAATTCTCCTTGTTCATTTGCCAGCAAAGAATGGTACCATGGTATCAGGGCTCCAGGGGTACTGGGAGTCAACAGCTTCTCCTGACTTCCGTGGGAGCAGGACTTTGAAAATACAAAGCACGGTACTAAATGCTTTGAGAAGAGAAATGTTCACCACCTTAAATAGGCACTTCAAGTTAGAAACTATATTTTAACTTCTCTGTGCATCAGTTTTCCATAGGTAAAATGGAAGCAGTATTATTGCCTCCCCTCACAGAGATGTTTTCTAAATAAACTAATGAATGTTTGTTAAGCAGCCAGACACTGTAGTAGCCTGGAAAAACCCATGAGGTGCATGGAAAAAACCCATGATGAAATTCATAATTTTGTCTTCAGAGCAGAGGATGAATAATGTGTAGCAAATAAGTCCTGAGACTACACACTGAACAACAGCAAATAGCTGCTACAAGAAAAATAGTTCATTATGTAGGCATTATTCATTATGTATGCTGAATGAGTCTAGATTTATGTGGAAAAATTAGTATGTAATCATGCAGTTAAAGACTATATCATAATCTGAACAAAGTGTCCAATTTAAGGTTATTCAAGTCTGCTTCATTCGGGCAGTTTCCAGCTATTGATGGCTTGAACTATACAATCTCTCTAAAGTGCTTTTAAAGGTTTTTTCGGTCTTCATGTATTTGAAGATAGTGTTTGGGCATCAGGATCAGAGCTGGAATTGGTGTCTTGGCCAATTCCAATCATTTTCATCACCTTCCAAACACTTGGCACCATCAAAACTGTTTAGTCTACCAGGCCTGTATAAAAGCATTACATCATACAAGCTAAGATGTCATCTCTGTTTTATGTAAACAACTTGCATCTTTGGCTTTCCATGTTACTTAAGCATGTCTCATGCTTTCTAATTTATTTCAGGAGTTTATTATTATGCTGGATTTATTGGAGCATTCGGAAAGATTTTTCTAGAGTTCATTAATTGGGGCTTTCATGGCCATATTGTGTACACATTTGCTTTTCAAACAGAAGGGATGAAGTGGCATCATCCAGCCTCTGGATGCATTTTTCCAATCCCCTTTTTGGCATCATGGAGCAGTATCACTGCTATTTCTGAAAGGTTATCATGTACATCTGAGAGATGGGGAAAAATCGAATGTCTGAGCAGAATCCCACATGAAGGACAACT